GACGAATAGGACGAGGATGCTCATGATGCTGACGATGATGATGTAATGATGATGGTGATGCTGATGACGATGGTGATGATGACGATGATGATGCTGAGGATGATGACGATGACGACGAAGACGATGCTGATGCTGATGCCGATGATGATGGGGATGATGATGATGATGATGATGAGGATGACGTGGGGGATGCTGCTGCTGCTGATGATGATGCTGATGATGATGATGATGATGATGATGATGATGATGACGATGTCGATGCTGACGATGATGACGACGATGACGATGATTTTGATGATGATGAGGGGGATGACGATGATGTCATGATGCTGATGAATATGATGATGCTGATGATGATATAGATGATGACGACCATGATGATAAGATTGGATGATGATGCGGACGAGGACGATGATGATGATGATGTTGGTGATGCTAATGATGATTGTGATGTTGCTGATGATGCTGATTCTGATGATGATGGTGATTCTGATGACGAGTCTGATGATGATGATGATGATGATGATGCTGGAGATGGTGATAATGAGGATGACGATGGGGGGGAGTCGACGGAGGGGGATGAGGATGAGAATATTGATGCTGATGATGACGACGAGTGTGATGATGATGCTGATGGTGATGCTGCTGCTGATGATGATAATGATGATGAGGCTGACCATGATGACGACAGTGATGACGATGCTGATGATTTTGCGGAGGATGGTGAAGATGAGGGTCAGGGTGATGATGCTGATGTTGATCATGATGGGGATGACGATGATGCGAAGGGGTATGAGGATGACGATGCTGATGAGGAGGAGGGTGATGACGATGATGTCTAGGCTGCTGGTGATGATGATGCTGATGGTGGTGATGCTGATGACGATGATGATGATGCTGCTGCTGTGCCGATGATGACGACGATGATGGTGATGGTGATGCCGATGAGGGTGATGATGAGGGTGATGACGGAGACGATGACGATGATGCCGATGATGCTGATACTGATGGCGATGATGTTGATGACGATGATTACGACGACGGTGATGTTGATGAGGACGATGGTGATAAGGAGGATGATGAGGAGGCCGACGATGATGATGCTGATGATAAGGAGGATGATGATGCTGATGCTGATGCTGATGATGATGCTGATGATGCTGTTGATGATGATGCTGCTTATGATGATGATGCTGATGCTGATGCTGATGATGATGATGGTGATGATGATGATGCTGATGACGGTGATGATGATGATCATTATGATGATATTGTTGATGATGCTGCTGATGATTATGATGATGATGATGATGATGACGATGATGACGGGGATGATGATGGTGATGAGGAGGATACGGAGGATGATGACGAGACGAGCGCTCCAAGAAGTTGCAAGCTAGACTTTCGAGCCACACCGACATCAGCGCGCTCCGATATAGTTTCAAGACGATCAATCGGACGCCACCCCACTGCGTACATATACAGAGTACCTAGAAAAGCACTTTGTCGACGACGGCAACGACTACATATTCTTGGACTACACGGGGACGCTATGCAACCACCAGCAGGAATACCAGCACCACCTAACATAAGTACGACCGCGCAACCTACGCCATACAGATCTACGGCAACGGCAAGACGTCCGCTGCCATGGAAGCACTAACCATGCTCAAGCCCAAGTTCTCAGCTCCTAGGCACAAGGCGCCACCAACACCGAAGTCAATATTCCCAACCGTGCAAGCGCACGGCAGCGATTACAGGGGGGTAGCAGAACTACCATACAGTACTTCTATTCTTCTGTTGGGACTAAAGAAGTGATACTATTGCGACATTAGATGGCAGAGTCTGCGACCTCACTACTTCCACCACTACGACTCCCAGTGGTTGCCGCAGATGGAGGATTTGTGATGCCCCCTTCTCCTCCTTGCCCAGGCTACTCCTTAGTATTCTTTGTGCCAAAGGCTCCCCCTGCTTTCGTCCTGACGTCCGCCGTTTGGTTGCCTCGTCTCTCGTACTTATCTGGCCTATCCCACTCCTTCTGGCTGCTGTTGGCATCTCCTCCTCCCCAGGGGCCGTGCTTAGCTGATGGCTGGTGTACGCCGTTCTCCCGTGTGTCCGCTCGCGGATGCATGAGACTTGGACCGTCGCCTCCGTCGTCGTGACACCTCCCCTGCCCCCCCTCCCCCTCCCCCGTCGTTGCTGCCTGCTGACGAACCGAACCAGGAGGTCGCGCAAGGCATGCCATCCCTACCCTCTCACGCTCGTGGCTGCACCCTGGCTGCCAAGAGGCCACGGCACGGCCCTTTGGACAGGCAGTGAAGATGTGGGGAGGTGGAGGATTCTTAGGCTGGGGGGGGGGGGGAACCGACTTCTGGCCATTTTTGGCTTTCGGCGGACGGGTTTCAGCGCCACGGATCGCCGCCGTGCTTCAACACCTCACATCTCACACCTCTGCAGTTCTACTAGCACAGCCTACTCACAGCCGCCAACGCTCTGCGCCCGACATGTCTAATTGTGGGGATCGGTGTCTGATCGGGGGAGACTATGGGGCTATGGGGGAACTCTTCCAGACGGCCCCTCACAATTACAGTCGCCAGTTCTTTAACTTTATACCCTCTTCTGTTTTACGTCGCCTTATATGCCCTGTTTGCAGCTACTCTTTCAGCAAACACCGCGAATCTAGTTTACGCTCGCGGCCATTTTCGCACGTCGATAGGGGACAAATCTCCAGGCGAGTCCCACGGTGGACTACCGACAACGCAAGCTATTTTAACATCAATTGACTTATCGCCTACACGCTGTCATGGGATGGTTGGGGTGCGGACCTGGTTTTATGCATTTGGGCGGGAAAGGGTGGTTGACCGCAGCGGGCAGAAGTAGCGTGCAGCTTTATCCCAGGCCCCCTTACTCTATGGCGTTGCCCCACAACAGATATCAACAGCCAATCCGGCGCCAGCCTTATACAGGACACTTTCATTACTACTGCGCGCTTTCCCTCGCAAGGCGGCCTCTCATATGCAAGTGGCCACTTCGTGTGCTAGAACGGAGAGAGGCTTCGGGGCTGGGATGAGTGGACGACTGGATTTGGTGGGGACGAGTCATAACAGAGACTATCAGCCTACATGTCCATCTTTCGCCAGCTTGCTACACTGTGCCTCCACTAGCTCGTGCGATACCTATCTCTGTCATTACCTTTGTCCAGTCTGTTGCTGTATTTCAGCATTGCATATCGCCAACTTGTAAATAACAGTTTCAGGCACTTAGGCCAGCCAGTCTGAGTGGCCAGCCTAAGCATTCACATCATGTTTCGCATTCTCACTTTGTGTCCTGTTCTACCATGCTATCTCTCAGCACTGCTCCCTGGTCAACCTGCTTCGTATGCGAGTTTCAGGCTGGCCAGTCTAATGGCCAGCCAGTCAGCATTTTCATTTTTTTGGCCAACCTCATTTACTTAGACTCCACATGCCAGAAAGTCTACATGGCCAGCCTAAGCATGCAAGGCCACATATCAGCTGCTATCAAGGGTTCGTGCTAAGCCCGAAGACAGATAGCAAGGACACGGGGGTCCTGGGACCATGGAGGTCCTGGGTGAACCGAGCAACTGTGGGCGGCAACACAAGAACTGCCACCATGTGCGCTGTCCTTTTTCAGCTGTAAGCCCTGCCTCTGACGCAACCTGACTCTATACTATACTGGGCATGGGCGTTGTGTGTAGTGGTAGTTCACCGCGGTGGGATTCACGAGGTGTAGAGGCAACAGCTTCAGGCCCCTGTGACTCAGGGCGCGGCCACGCTCTTTTACGTAGCAGCATCTCGCATTTAGATCGCTACTTTACTCTCCGTGCGTCGCCGGCTTTTTTCTGTTCAGCTCGCACGACAAGCGTATTTCGACCACTCCTCATTCGGCCTCCTCCTCTGTATGTGATGATGCTGTTCAGATGCTGGTTTGTTGTCCTCCTTCCCCGCTGCACCATGCGGCCTGGCGGGCGCATGCTCTATGGCCTATCGGTCCGTGCACCTTTTTCACTGCTCTGCGCCCGCCAGGCTTAATTCGTTGGCCCTTTTGCCTAAGTCGGCATCTTTATTTTTCACACTTAGAACGCCTTGATATCCGATCCATGTCTAAAAGGAGGTCCAGTTGAAACCGAAGACGCATCGACGATGTTGCAATACACCCTCTTTCCAAACTCACTCTTCGTAGGTCCCTTCAAGAAGTTTTTACTGCTGGAAAACAACTGTCAGAGAGTCCCGAATCGTACCAAAATGCAATTCCTGGGACTTTAGTGTTGCGAATCAGCGTGGGTGTTGCGTCCTGACAATCCTAAATCGTGCCAGGACGTCGTTCCTGGGACTTCAACACAACGAACCAACTCGACTTTATGCGCCCTGACAGTCCAGTTCCGTGCCGGAGCACAAATCCAGGGACGTCAACCATAAGAATCCGTCGAGCTTCTATACACTTGTAAGACGGATGCGCGCTGCGCTCAGGCGAGAGCCACATGTTGAATAACAACCGCCCCTCATCTATGAAACTCTTGCACACTTGTAATGGTGAGGATGTCTTTGGTGCCCTGCCTGCGCTGCCGACACGTCTCGGGGTACGACAGGGAAGCGTTATCTATAAGGAATTGGAGCGGAGGCCGACGATGAGGATGAGGATAAGGATGACGATGAGGAGGATGAGGAGGAAGGAATAGTAGGAGAAGGAGGAGGAGGATGACGAGGAGGACGAGAAGGAGGAGGAATATGAGGAGGAAGAGGAGGAGCAGGAGGAGGAGGATGAGGATGAGGAGGAGGAATAATAAGAGGAGGAGGATGACGAGGAGGAGGAGGAATAATAATAATAGGAGGAGGAGGAGGAGCAGGAGGAGGAGGAGGAGAAGGAAGATGAGGGGGAATCTGAGCAGGAAGAGGAGGAGGAGGAGGAGGAGGAGGAGGAGGAGGAGGAGGAAGACGAGCAGGAGGAGGAGTGGTTGGGCGAGGAAGGGGGCGGTCCAGGAGGAGGTGCGGCTGGGCGAAGAGGGAGGAGGAGAAAGTGCGGCCGGGCGAGGACTGGGAAGAGGAGGGGGCGGAGGAGCAGGAAGAGGAGGAGGCAGGAGGGTGGAGCAGGAGGAGGCAGGAGGCGCAGGAGGCCGGGGCCGGAGGAGGCACAGAGAGGATGGATGGCGGCCGGCCAGGAGCCCCACCGCCGCCGCAGCGGCCGGGCATCCACAGCGCGCTGGCGGCCCCGCCGCAGACCGCCGAGGTCGGCCTCCCGCCGCGCCGCCTCAGGGGGGGTGGCAGGGGTCGGGTCGGGGCGGCCGTCGGCGGAGGTGGTGCAGGGGCAGAGTGCCACGCTGCTCGGAGGCGGCAGCTCGCGAGGATGGTGATGAGCGTGGTGGGGGGGGCGGTGGCGATGGCGATGGCGATGACGACGATGCCACTGAGGATGATGATGATGCTGCTGATGTTGATGATGATGATGATGCAAATGATGGTGATGATGATGATGATGATGATGGTGATTGTGATGATGATGGTGATGATAATGATGATGATGAGGATGATGATGATGATGGTGATGATGATGATAATGAGCAGGAGGACGAGGACGAGGTCGACGACCTGCTGCTGATGATAATAATGACGATGACGATGATGCTGATGATGATGCTGATAATGGTGATGGTGATGCTGATTCTGATGATGATGATGATGATGATGATGGTGATGGTGATGATGCGCTGATGCTGCTGATGATGATGACGAGGATGAGGCTGAATACGATGATGATGATGATTATGATGATTCTGCTGCTGATGATGATGCTGATGGTGGTGGTGGTGATTATGATGATGACGATGACGATGACGATCACGCCACTGATGATGATGGTGATGCAGATGTTGATGATGGTGATGTTGCGGGTGATAGTGATGACGATGATCATGAGCATGCTGATGCTGATGATTATGATGATGATGTTGATGATGATGATGATGGCAATGGTAATGATCATGCTGATGACGACGATGGTGATGATGCTGGTGACGGTGATGGTGGTGCTGATGACGACGATGATGATGCTGATGATGCTGATGATGATGATTATGCCGATGACGATGGCGATGGCGATGACGGTGACGATGACCATGACGATGATGACACCCAGGAAGAGGATGATGATGACGATGATGATGCTGATGATGATGATGATGATGGTGATGATGATACTGACATTGTTGACGATGATGACGATGATGATAATGATGCTGATGCTGGTGATGATGCTGATTATGATGATGATGATGCTACTGATGCTCGTGATGATGAAGACGATGATGCTGATGATGAGGCTTATGGTGGTGATGGTGATCATTCATGATGCTGATTAATATGATTCTGATGATGGTGATGGTGATGGTGATGGTGATGCTGCTGCTGATGATGATGATGATCCCGCGGATGAGATTGAATCTCATGATTATGATGATGATGATGATGATGATGATGATGATGGTGGTGAGGGTGGCAATGATGATGTTGATGACGAAGACACCACTCAGACTGATGATGATAATGATGATGATGATGAAGATGAAGATGACGATGATGATGATGATGACGATGATGATGAGGATGAGGATGACGACGCTGGTGCTGATGATGGTGGTGCTGATGATGATGCTGATGATGAAAATGATGATGATTTTAATTCTGATGATGGTGGTGATGACGACGATGGTGATGATGTTGCTGATGCTGTTGACGATGATGATGACGGTGCTGATGATGATGGTGATGGTGATAACACAGAGGAAGAGGATGATGATGGTGATGATGATGATGATGATGAAGATGATGAAGATGATGATGATGATGATGATGACGGCGACGACCACGATGATGATGCTGCCTTTGATCAGACGGCGATGATATGGCTTATGTTGCTGATGATGACGATGCTTATGCTCATGATGATGGCGATGATGCTGCCGATCATGGTGGTGGTGATGGTGATGCTGATGATGATGCCGATGTTACTTATGCTCATGCTGACGGTGATGGTGATGGTGCGGATGATGCTGATGATGATGCTGCTGATGATGATGCTGATGATAAGGATGAGGAAGATGATGATGGATCTGATGACGATGCTGATGATGCTGATGTTGATGCTGATGATGATGATCATGACGATGCTGATGGTGGTGGTGGTTGTGATGATGATTATGATGATGACGATAACGACGACGCCACTGATAATGATGATGATGATGATGATGATGATGATGATGATGATGATGATGAGGCAGATGATGATGATGATGATGATGATGATGATGATGATGATGATGATGAAGATGATGATGATGATGATGATGATGATGATGCTGATGACGATAATACTGACGATGCTGATGAAGAAGAAGAAAACGATAAGCTCATGATGATGCTGATGATGGTGGTGATTATGATTATGGCAGCGATGACGATGATGATGTTAATTATGATAATGGTCATGCTGGTGATGGTGATGGTGATGGTGCTTACGACGATGACTATGATGATTATGATGGCGACGAATTTGACGATGCTGCTGATGATAATGACGATGGTGCTGATGATGCTGATGATGACAACGACTGTGCTGATGATGCTAATGAGGAGGATTATGCTGATGATGGTGATGGTGATGATGATACTGATGATGCTGATGATAGTGATGATGATGGTGATGGTGCTGCTGCTGCCGATAATAATACTGATGCTGATGATGATTATGATGATTACGTCGACGACGACGATGTTGATGCTGATGGTACTGCTGCTGATGATGATGATGATGATGATGGTGGTGGTGCTGATGATGATGCCGCTTCTGCTGCTGATGATGACGATGATGGCGATGATGCTGATGATGATGATGATGGTGGTGGTGGTGGTGGTGGTGATGATGATGATGATGATGATGATGATGATGATGCTGATCGGTTGAGGAGGAGGAGGCGGAGTATTCCCTCTTCCTCCCTCTTGCTCCTCTACCTCCACTCTCCTGTCTCCCGCACGCGAGCGCTCGTGTGCGCAGGCGCGCGCGGGGGGGAAGGGGGTGGTCGGGGCAGGGGCAGGAGGAAGCGTGCCAGGCCGCGCCCCCCCACCCTCACCAGGCCCAGAAACCCCAGGGGCTCCATACTGGGCGGAAGGCTCGGGGCACCTCGGGCAAGGGGTGCTTTCTGCCAACACTGGGAAGGATGAGCACGAGGGGGGGTGCACAGGAGAGTGACGCAAGCCGACACGATGGTACACGTCGCATGGCCGTCAAGTCGTTTTTTGGGATGGCTGGTTATTTCTCCCTCCTTTGGTATCTGGTCCTTTTGCATGCAGGTGGTTTTAGCACGGTTATTCCCCAATCAAAGCTTGCGTCTGTAGGGGTCCTAGCGGATTCATATGGTTAGGTTAGGTGCGCCGCCGATCATTCCTCAATCAGAGCTTGCCTCTGTAGGGGTCCTAGCGGATTCATTCCCCTATCAGAGCTTGCCTTCTGTAAGGGGTCTTAGCGGATTCATATGGTTAGGTGAGGTGCGCCGCCGATTTCGGCTGCACGCCCGGGTGCCTGGGTGCCTGGGTACCCAGTGCCCGGGTGCCCGGGTGCCTCATAGCCCTATAGCCCTATAGCCCTATAGTCCTAGAGCCCTACAGCCCTACAGCCCTATAGCCCTATAGCCCAATAGCCCAAGAGCCCTATAGCACTCTAGCCTTATAACCATTTAGCATAGCCCTATAGCCCTATAGCCCTATAGTACCGTAGCCTAATAGCCCTATAGCCCTATGGCCCTAGAGCGCTATAGCTCTATATGCCTGTAGCCTAATAGCCCTATAGCCCTATAGCCCTATGGTCCTATAGCCCTATATTCCCATAGCCTTATCGATCCATAGCCCTATGGCCCTATATCCCCATAGCCTCATAGCCCCAGAGCCCCATAGCCCCCATAGCCCTATAGTCCTCTAGCCCTATGGCCCTATGGCCCTATGGCCCTATGGCCCTATGGCCCTATAGCCCTATAGCCCTTTAGACCTATGGCCCTATGGCCCTATAGCCCTATAGCCCTATAGCCCAATAGCCCAAGAGCCCTATAGCACTCTAGCCTTATAACCTATAGCCCTATGGCCCTAGAGCCGTATGGCTCTATAGCCCTATAGCACCTATAGCCCTATAGCCCTAAAGAGAGTCTGGTTGGCTTTTATTCCGCGATCATATGATTGGGTTAGGTGCGCCGCCGATTCCAGCGGCTCGCCCGGGTACCCGGGTGCCCGTGTGCCCAGGTGCCCGGGAGCTGCGGCGCCGGTGTCGGCAGCCCGCCCGGGTGCCTTGGTGCCCAGGTGCCTAGGTGCCCAGTGCCCGGGTGCCCAGGTGTCCGGGTGACTCATAGCCTTATAGCCCTATAGACCTATAGCCCTATAGCCCTGTAGCTCTATATACCTATAGCCCTATAGCCCAATAGCCCAATAGCCCTATAGCCTCATAGCCCAAAAGCCCTATAGCCCTATAGCCCAATAGACCAAGAGCCCTATAGCCCTATAACCTTTTAGCCTTATAGCCCTATAGCCCTATGGCCCTCTAGCTCTACAGCCCTATGGTCTATAGCCCTATAACCTACAGCCCTATAGCCCATAGCCCTATAGCCCTCTATAGCCAGATAGCCCTATAGCCCTATAGCCCTATAGCCCAATCGCCCTATAGCCCCACAACCCTATGGCTCTATAGCCTTATAGCCTTATAGCCTTATTGCCTTATAGCCCTATAGCCTTATAGCCTTATAGCCCTCTAGCCCTCTAGCCCAATAGCCCTATAGCCCTACAGCTCTGTATGCCTCCATTCCTATAGCCCAATAGCCCTATAGCCCTATGTTCCTATAGCCCTGTAGCCCCATAGCCTCCTAGACCCATAGCCCTATGGCCCTGAAACCCTATAGCCCCAGAGCCCCAGAGCCCACTAGCCCCATAGCCTTATAGTCCTACAGCCCTATAGCCCTATGGCCCTATAGCCCTATAGCCCTTTAACTCTATGGACCTATACCCCTATAGCCCTACAGCCCTATAGCCCCAGAGCCTCATAGCCCCATAGCCCTATAGCCCTACAGCCCACTAGCCCTATGGCCCTATAGCCCTATAGCCCTATGGCCCCAAAGGCTATAGCCCTATGGCCCCATAGCCCTACAGCCCTAGCCTTATAGCCTTGTAGCTCTATAGCCCTATAGCCCTATAGCCCTGTAGCCCTATAGCCCTATAGCCCTGTAGCCCTATAGCCCTATAGCCCGACAACCCTATAGCCTTATAGCCCAATAGCCCTATAACCCTATAGCCCTACAGCCCTCTAGCCCAATCGCCCTACAGCCCTACAGCTCTTTAGCGCTGTAGCCTTATAGCCTTCTAAACTTCCAGCATCCTAGCCCTATGGCCCTATGACCCTATAGCCCTATATGCCTGTAGCCTCATAGCCTTATAGCCCTATAGCCCTATAGCCCTACAGCCCATGAGCCCTATAGCCCTACAGCCCTATAGCCCTATGGTCATATAGCCCTATAGCCCCAAAGCCCAATTGACCTATAGCCCTATAGCCCTGTAGCCCTGTAGCCCCAGAGCCCCAGAGCCCCATAGCTCTATAGCCCTACAGCCCTATAGCCCTATGACTCTATAGCCCTGTATATCCCTATAGACCTATAGACTTGGGGCCTTATGGCCTTATAGCCCCATCGCCCTATAGCCCCGAAACGATTAGGATTGAGTTTTTCTCCAGTATCTGTTCTCCCTCCTCTGGTATTCGCTCCTTCTGCATGCAGGTGGCTTTAGCACGTCACGAGCAGTTCGCCTGCCAGAGGCATGCCCGTGGTAGTAGCCTGCGAGAAACAGCGGGTTCCACTACAGCGTTGGCAGTGATTCACCGATTCATGCGTCCCTATTGTTGGCGCGCGCCCTGTCTGTGGCACGGGGGACGGTCCTCGTTTCGTGGTGCCCTGCAGCTCGCCTTTCGCCCGTCTTGGGTTTCGTTGATCTCTGTTCGCGCGGCCCCTCGGCCAGGATGTGGGGCGCCTGCTGGAGAACAGGGACGCGCTCGATACCATCATCGCCCTGGAGAACCAGGGCCGCTACATGGAAGGCCAGCGGACCAGTGTGGAGGGTTCACACGTGGTCGGCTTGCGAACGTCGCGGGTTGATATATTCAGTCGAAGGAACTCAATCTCCGCACCTCCAAGCCTGCCAGTGATTCTTGATGTTTCGCGTCTCCCACCCAGCCCGCCCAGAAGCGTCGCCAGGCGAGTTACCGTGATCAGAGAAGTGTAGGAGCATGCAGTGGAAAAGACAGGTGAATCAGCCGTCAGGCCGAAGCCCGAAATCAGGCTGTGGAACTGCTGAGCCAGTCGCAGGAGGAGGAAGTGGAGGAGGAGGAGGAGGAGGAGGAGTAGGAGGAGTCGGGGCAGAAGGTTTGGAATGATGAGGGAGAATCTGAAGGATGATGAAGATGGAGATTGGAGGAGGAAGAGGAGGAGGAGGAGGAGGAGGAGGAGGAGGAGGAGGTGGTTGAGGAGGGGCAGGAGCAGGAGCAGGAGGATAGGGGAGGACAAGGGCGACGACGTGTGAGGGGGGAAGGGGGAGGGAGGGAGGGAGGGAGGGAGCGAGGAGGAAGATGAGGATGATAATGATGCTGAAGGCGATGCCGATGATGATGATGATGATGATGATGATGATGATGATGATGATGATGATGATGATGATGATGATGATGATGATGATGATGATGATGATGATGATGATGATGATGATGATGATGATGATGATGCCGATGCCGATGCCGATGATGATGATGATGATGATGATGATGATGATGATGATGATGATGCTGATGAGGATGATGATGATGATGATGATGATGATGATGATGATGATGATGATGGTGATGATGACGATGATGATGACGATGCGGATAACTATAAAGGTGAGGAGGGGGAGGAGGAGTAGGATGAAGGAGAAGGAAGAACATACGATGAGGGATGATGAGGGGTAGGAGCAGCATAAATCCAGGATGTGTCAACGATGCTGCAATATACCCTCCCGTCCCAAGTCCCCTGCTCGTCAGTCCATAGTAGCCTTCCTTGTCACTGCTAGAAAGGCCCCCTTGAAAGTTGAGGCTCCAGCAGGCCTGCCATGCAGGCGACAGCCTGGTCTGTATAGGAACTGCCTTGCGTCGATGTCGTGAGTTACACGGGGCGCGAACAGGTATAATCATAGAATTCAGCTAGGTGTCCAGCGAGAGCTCCGCTTTGCCAAGGGGCCGCCCCATCCGTGCCATTGTTACAGATCTTGTAGTTCAGCTTGAGGTAGTCTCAGGCGAGAACCCCGTTTCGAAAAGGAGCCGTCCCACCTTCGCCTAGCTGTTGCATATCCAATAGCCTCCGGCCAACTCCGCTACGTTTTATGCCTGGGTTGACCGGCCAGTGGGCTTTTGGATGCTTATGGGGATGCTTGAGGCGGCTCTCAGACGCCTCTCGGAGGCGGTTGGGGGGTGTCGTGGGGATAGCTGGGTGTTAAATTGTCGATTTTGACTGCTTCCTTAGGCTCCTGGGTGGTACCGTGTGAGACGGACTCGTGGGTTGTCGGGTACCAGTTGGAGGCGTCGACATGTTGGTTTGTATCTCTCTTCCAGCGGCTTCATTGGCGCGTCCAGGCGCGTCTTGTGGGATTCTCGGCCTTCCCGATGCTCTCTAGTACCAGATTGGTACAACTCGGGTCATACAGTCCGAAGAGGAAGGGTGAGTCATATCGGTTGTAGCAGTAGAAGTCAAAGCGGTAGTGGTCGTGGCGGTGGAGGAAGAACGAGGAGGTGGTGTAAGGGATAGTGAAAAGGATAAGTAGTTTGACCAGGGGGAGGTGCCTGTTGCAGACGCCATGGCCCAAGTGATATCAGTCGGGTGCCTCATGGGTCATTCCGTCTGTAATCACATAAGATGAAGCAGGTGAGGAGAGGTCGTCGCGGGCGGAGTATGTATATATGCATATATTTATATGCTCCAAGTGGAGCCAAGTAGCACAAGTAGAAGCGTCAGTGGTAATGGCGTGTGGAATAGACTTGGGTCTCGTCGTCTGTAGTCGTCGGCGTAGAAGCGGTCGTGGCAGTGGCTGGTGTAGAGGAACATGACCCAAGTGGTACCCATCAGGTATCTCTTGGGTCATACCGTCTGTCTCCGTATAAGACGGAACGGTCGTGGTATTCGCGGTTGGTGTGTGTATATACTTTTGTACACGCGTAGCTTCAGAGGGGGCAATCGAGTACCATTTAGGCAAGATCATCTGGACTTGTAGAAGCGGCGGCGGCAGTGTTAGTGGCGTCTTCAAGTTGCACCAGTCGTGTCCTCGTTGTGGACCAGCGGCCACGTAGATGTACCTTGGGGTCTCCTGGGAAGTCTTTTGGAGGCCTGTCTCGGGCCTCGTAGAGGTGTCCTGGGCGCCTCGTGGGGGCCTCCTGGGGGCCTCCTGGCCGCCTCTTAGTGGCCTCTCGGGCCTCTCCTGCGGCCTCCTGCCTGGGGGCCTCTCGGGAGCCTTCTGGGGTCTCTTGGGGGGCCCCTTGGGGCTTCTTAGGGAGGAGGGCTTGAAATGTCGGTTGTTCCCCCTCTTGGGCCCTTCTGGGGCCCTTCCTGGGATCCTCTGCGGCCGTCTTTCCGGCCTCTTGCGCCGTCTTGGGGCCCTCTTGCGCCGTCTTGGGGTCCTCTTGGTAGCCTCTTTCACCGTCTTGGGGTGATCTTTGGGGCCTCTTGGTCCGTCTGGACCGGAAGAAACCCGAAAAGGCGAAAGCGCAAAACACAAATATGTTCATTGTTTTTTGCCGCTTGGGGCCCTCTTGAGGGGTCTCTTGAAGCCCTGTTGGGGCGTCTTGGGGTTTGTCTTGAGGACACCTTCGGCGTCTTTGAGGCGCTCTTAGGCCGTCTCGGGACTCTCTTGGACCATCCTCGAGGCCTCTTGGGACCCTCCTGGCCCGTCTGGAGCCCTCCTGCCACTGGAAAAATCAAGCGAGAACACGCGGTCGGATACTCCCCGAACTTCGGGTCCAGGCCCCCAAACCCACAATCTCAAGGATTGAGGACAGATGGCTCAAGGGACCTGAGGACATTCCCACATATGCCTCGTGGCACTGTGGTGGATTGTCAAGCTTCGGGCCGTTAGGTTTTGCCGAAGTCTCAAGCGATCGCTACGTTTTGAAAACCAAGCGGCCTACATTTTTTACGTTATTGTAAGTTGTGAAGACGACTGTTCGTAGCACTACGGCGAGATCACCAGTTTGAAAACGCGCCGCCTTTTGTTTTTTGGGTAATTGTTGCACGCTTTTGAAACGAATGTGCGCGACGCTACGGCGAAGGCCCCATTTCGAACACGTACCTCCCTCCATCCTCGTAGTCGTCGCAAGCTTTTAAGACGAATGTGCGCGGCGCTGATGCGAGAGCCCCAGTTTGCAAAAGACCCGCCCTCCATCCGTGCAGCCGTTGCAAGGTCCAAACTTTAGGATCATGCATGGGGATCCCGCAGGCAGTCGCGGGCAAAACGCTTGGGCTGCCCTGCCGACGCGCTGGGGGTGACGACAACAGGAAGGAGACATTTGTGAGGAAACGGGTGATGAGGATGACGGGGAGCAGCGAGCACAGGTGCAGGAGGAGGAGGAGGAGGAGGAGGAGGAGGAGGAGGAGGAGGAGGAGGAGGAGGAGGGGGAAAGGGGAAAGGGGAAAGCGGGGGCGGGGACGGGAGGGAGGAAGGAGGAGGAGGAGGAGGAGGAGGAGGAGGAGGAGGAGGAGGAGGAGGAGGAGGAGGAGGAGGAGGAGGAGGAGGAGAGGAGGAGGAGGAGGAGGAGGAGGAGGAGGAGGAGGAGGAGGAGGAGGAGGAGGAGGAGGGGGAGAAGGAGGAGGAGGAGGAGGAGATGCGCCCAGGCATCATCGCCGGCTGGAGCTCGGGCCACCGCCAAGAGCCCATGACCGAGGCCGGCTCCCTCCCTTGCTCTGCGGGCCAGAGGGGGCCCTGGCCAGGGGAGCGGCGGAGCCTCGGGCCCTCTTTTTGCTTCTTCCTCGTCCGCCCGAGGAGGAGGAGGAGGGATGGGAGGATCTCTGGCGGATGAAGCGGATGTGGAGGGAGGAGGGATGATGGGGAGCAGGAGGAGGAGTAGGAGGATGAGGGGGGGTGATCATTTTGAAAGAGGATGATGCTGATGCAGATGCTGATGTTGATGCTGCTGCTGCTGCTGCTGCTGCTGCTGATACTGATGACGATGATGATGATGATGATGATGATGATGATGATGATGATGATGATGATGATGATGATGATGATGATGATGATGATGATGCTGCTGATGATGATGATGATGATGATGACGATGATGATGCTGCTGCTGATGATGATGATGCTGATAATGGTGATGTGGATGTTGATAATCATACTCATAATGATGATGATGATGATGATGATGATGATGATGATGATGATGATGATGATGATGATGATGATGATGATGATGATGATGATGATGATGATGATGATGATGATGATGATGATGATGATGATGATGATGATGATGATGATGATGATGATGATGATGATGATGATGATGATGATGATGATGATGATGATAATGGGAATGATTTTGAGATCTCAGTCCTAAATCGTAATTATTGTTGATCCCCCCTGCCCAGTGATTATTGTCTTTTTTCAATTAATGGGCTCCCCCAGGGGTCGCACCTAGTTTTTTTACAAGGGGAAGTGTAGGGTCACCAAACTGGGCCCCTAGCCCCCGAGTTACAACAACAACGGCTCATGCTTGATATTTCCGCACAATTGAGTGAGCAGTCTCGCTGTCGCGCGGGACTTCCGTGCAATTTATGCAGGAGTCGCGCTCTCGCGTGGGACTTCCTCGCACTTTATTCAGACGCCGCGTCCTCGACGCTCAGGAATAGTGCTCTCGCTCTGGTTTTTCTCGCGATTCACTTGGGAATTGCGCTATCGCTCGAGTCCTCCTCGCGATTCATGCAGTACTCACGCTTCAGCAACCCGCCTGCTCGACCTGGCCGCTTGGGCCCGCCTTCCCGACCCGCCCGTTAGGGACCACCCGCCCGATCAGCCCGTCTGGTTCTGCCACGTGTTTCCTGCTCCTAGCCCTCCTCCTGCTAATCTTATGCGCCATCTTTCTCCATCCCCCTTCCATCCGTCCTCTCTTCCCTTGTTTTAGGGGCTCCCCTACTCACACGTGGCAGGTGAAGAAGATATGCCCTCAGGAGGGTACGATCGAAGACGAAGCGGGCGGGTATCGACGGTTAGGGATCTACGTGTTGAATGGCTTTAATAGTTTTAAACAGGTAGGAGCGAAGAGTCTTAAAACAGTACTGCGCGCGAGCAGGTAATATCGATTAATATTACACTTACTATTGATTTTTTGTTCTGTTGTTGATGATGCTGATGATGAGGAGGAGCGGGAGGAGGAGGAGGAGGAGGAGGAGGAGGAGGAGGAGGAGGAGGAGGAGGAGGAAGAGGAGGCGTAGGAGTAAGCAAGGAGGATATGGAGGATAAGCTGGACGATGCTCCTCGTCGTCGTCGTCGTCGTCCTCCTCCTCCCTCCTCCTCCTCCTCCTCCTCCCCCTCCTCCTCCCCCTCCTCCTCTTGTTCTCCAGACGTTGGGGAATTGATGGACAGACGAGCCCGACCGTATACGTGAGTCGACTTCGCCGTTCACCTTGCGAGCCCCTGCTGGAAAGGAGACGGTCCCACTGACACTTCGCTGCTTCCGTTCACCGTCGCCAGCGCCTTCCGACCACGGACGGGCTCGGATCTGCAGTGCGCTGCGCTGTTCGTCCTTGCGGCGCCCCCTGGCACCGCTCCTTCCCGGAGGGGGCCGCAGCACTGGCGTGCTCTGCCCTCCATGATCTGAGCGTCCGCCCAAATCCAATCCTTCGGGTTAGCAAATCATGGGAACCTGCTATGCCCTTTGAATTCCTTAGTTCCGTCTTTGGCGTCGATTAGCGTCGATTAGCGTCGATTAGCGTCTGGGAGTCGATGCAATAGCGCCGATTTCGCGTCGGTCAGCGTCGATGCGCGTCGATTCAGCGTCGATTTGACGTCGATTGGCGTCGATGCAGCGTCGATTAGCGTCGCTTCGCGCGAGCTGACAAGAAGGGTATGGGAGGCTCCCATGAGTTGCCACCGATCGGTCCCTGGCCGCGGCCGCCCTCCTCTCGCCCCTCCTCGGTGAAGCCCTGCCAGGGCGCTAGCCCCCGCGAAGCGAGCGTCCAGCGTCACCGCTGCGACAGCAGCTTGTCCTGCCGTGTGCCCGCCGGCGCCCTCGGAGAACGAGCCTCTCGTGTCGAGCTAATCCGCGGCCGGATACAGGTTCGGCTGCGCAGCGTTCGAGCGCATCTCGAGTGGGAGAGGGAGCCGCCCGCGCTCCCGCAGCTCGTGGGGTTGTGGAGGAGAACCGGCTGCAGCGACGCAGGGAGACCACGACGTCCCAAACGAGTGCCCCCCATTCGTGCAGCTGCTTAGGCGATTTTTCGAGAGCCTCAGGTGCACGGAAGTCCCGGGCCACGTCCCTGTAAAACAAGGACATGCTTTCACTTGCTGGTTATGCTTTCTCGACGTGTCAATTTGGAGGGGCCCAATATGTCTGGAAGTCGGATGGGCTTTCCAGACTTCGAGAAAGGTGCCAGCCTCCATGAGTGTATCATTTAGGTTCTCAAGCTTTTAGAGCTCGATTTTGGAACAAATGGTGAGAAGGGAGGACCATCCGTACATCTGTTGGAAGCTTTCTAGACGCGTGTGCGCGGCGCCAACGCGGGAGCGATGCGCCTAGGCGAGAGTCACATGTTGTGACCACCCGCCGTCTGCCCGCAATATCCAGCTGCCTGCTTCAGGCCTGCCACCGTGCCAGCGTAGCAGCGCAACAAGAGAGGGAGTTGTGCTTAGTTAGCCCGTTCCAGTTCAGTGCCCTGTCTGAATCGGCGCGGGTCTTGAAACCCCGTTCCTTATCCGCAGCCTCGTTGTTTTCATCCTCCTGACTTTTCCCTCCTCCTCCTCCCCCTCCTGAACCTTTGCAGACCTCTTGAAGGCTCTTAGTTGGCTTTTTTTGGGGCTTCTGAGGTACTCATAAGGGGTGGGTTAGCCGTTAGCGAACTCCAGGGACCCTCCTCAATCGTTCTTGCATTGCGTTATCATGCAGGCACGCAGGCTGGTACTTCAAGGACTTGTCCGGCGCAAAACATTCGGACAGCCCTATCCACACGCAGGTGCTCGGAAGGAAAATGTGGGGAGAACGAGTAGGAGGATGAGGATGATGATGATGATGATGAGGAGCAGGAGGAACATGATCAGGATAAAGACCAGGGGCCCGAATCAGTAGAGACAGGCTCGAGCGAGCTAGGGGTCCCCGTCCACTCCTCCCTCCCCTCCCACAAGATTGGAACCTAAGTCGGCGCACACCCCCAGGTGTTGACCACGTGCCAAATATCGGGGGCGGCCAAGAGGGGAGTGAGGACAAGGGCTGGGTGGATATCACGGCGTGGGCCATGCTATCTCCCCAGATTTCATGGCGCCTTTTCTTATGTCATTGCGTCCCTGCCCCCCGCCCACATGCCGCCGGCTATGATTTGCGCACCCCCCAGTCGGACGCCCCCCTCTTGGCCGCCCCCGAATACCTTGTCAGTTTGTTGTGCGAGCTGAATCGTGATTGTGCCCAGACGCGGAAGACAGGAACGCCGCCAGGCCCTGGCTTACGCATCGACTGAGGGGCGTGAGCTCCACGTCGAACGCAGCTTGTCGTCCGCCCCGCATTGGAGGTCAAGCTGGCTGGCGGGGACATCCACAACACTCGGCCTGTGTGGTTTGAGTTCGCTCACGAAGTGAGCACGGTGCCCGCCGCAGTTTGTAATTTTGCATGTTGAGGTTATCGGGTGCCTCGGCGCTGTCTCCTGTGTGCAAAGTATGGTTGCGGTTTGCGAGGCAGAAGAACGCGCCGTGCCCAGGAGGGAGAGGAGCTGTCAGGGAAATGCCGTGTGGCAGGCGAGCGAGAAGCATGCGCCGCGCCGAAGCGTGAACTCAGTTTCCTGGGGGAAGATCAGCGCAGCACTTGGGCGAGAGCAGCCTTTGCCTGCCCCACTTTCGCCACGCATGTTGCAACTTCGACGACACAGCGTTCATGTCGAAAGGGAGCGCGCCAAGTTTCTATTGTTTCTCTATGGGTAAGTCTCCTCCCAGCTTGCAAGCGCCATCAGGGCTCCAGGTTGGAGAGAGGGAGCATGTAGTTATCAGGAAGGCGTGTCGGCTGTCGCCCGCCTCGTTGGGGGAAGAAGAAGAGGAGGGGGGAGGAGGAGCTGGAGTCAAGGAGGCTTCGAGGGATGAGTACGGGTTTAGGGGTTCACTCCACACTCATGCTCAAACGTTGTCCACTGCCATTCCGAAACAAGTGACGGACGCTATTGTGCATCCCTCTTCAATCTCAACTTAAAGCTTAGAGGATGAGGTCGGGGTTGTGGCGCCTTTGGCGGGGAACTGGTTGTCGTTAGCTTTTCACGGATGACCATGGCATCGGTTTCAGAGGGGTGCTCACGACTGTCCATGAAAGCTGGACTAAAGTTACAATCGAGAGTTATATGTGTGAGAGGACTGGAGGTCGCTGATCGTCTTGCGCTGCAGGAGGCTACTTCGGCGAACCTCGCGAGATCTCACGTCCAGCACCCTTTCCAGCCACCGAGCCCAGTCGGGCCCTTTCCATGCCCAGGTGACCCTGTGCCTGTGCCGTGCACACCCACACTTGCACCCCGTGTGCGCCAACTGATTCACCATGCTCATACTCGAGCCGTGTGAGACCCCTCCTCGATATGTTAGCCGTGGCGACCCCGTGTCCGCCCGTGGTGCCAATCGCCCGCGATGCCACGACCGCCTACGACGGGGTGGCCCGGCACAGCTCGGGGGGCTGGCCCCCTCGCCGCCTCCTCGGCC